AGCTCCTATGTCCAGCAATGCGTTGGTGAAGATGTTTCGCCGTGTAGCCGACGTAATTTGTGGCGCACAAATCACACTCAAATAGATACACAACGCAGTGTTGGTTTGATAAGTTTGATAACTTCGAAACGTCGTGTAAAATGTTTTAAACCAAAATGYATWATCGCAGAACTTTATTGTTAAATGTTTTTCTAAAACTCTACTTATACGAAAAATAATTAATCATCTATCTAATGTTTGCAGGTCTAACAGTGTGGCAGTGCCTTTCTCCTCGGACAGCTATCGCCTTCTTATTTCCACTAGCATTTTTCTCCGTTGTCTTCTATGGAATTCTAAACCATGGCCCCTTGAAGAATTATCAAATTGATATCCATACACCAGATCATGACTACGTCCCATTGTTCTCAGAGAAAACCTCCGAAAACCAAGAGCTAATTCAGCAATTTATTGAACACCTTCAATTTCTCTTGARCATCTTTACATTTGCAAGCTATTGCTTCCTCTCTATGTTCACCTATTTTGTTGCTACCTGCTCGGTGCTCACCACTCTGACATTGCCATCAGCACCATTTGATGTGCGCAGTCATTACCAATACTACAGAATGGCTGGCGACATTGGACTGGTGTTTGGAGGGATGGAATTAATGTTGGTTTCACGTCTCTTCCCAAAAAGGGTCAACACTTTTTTGAGTCAGAACATTTGGATTCTTATTCTGGTCAGTTTAGGTCATGTGATATTTTTTGTTGCTGCATCATGGTATCGTTTTGTCCCAAGTGTTTATGTAATATTGCTGTTAAGTGTTACGCATGGTTTCTTATTTAATTCCATTATTGTCAGAGCAATGTCCTCTGCCTCCGAATGTTTTACCAAGTCAAGTGACAGAGGCACAGCAATGGTCATCACTGTAGTCGCCATCTCAATAGGTGGACTTGGTGCAGGGTTTCTGGGCATTTTTGTCGAAGATTACTTGCGACGGCACTGCGTTAACAACCTTTTGATGGGCAAATTTTGTTTGGCAAGATTTTCCTCTCCAGCTGGYTGGAACRAGAATTTGAACTGCTTTTAAACTTTCTTCTTCTTGTAAAACAACGCCTTTATAGGTAATGGTATATATAAAATAGTAAGTAAAGTAAGTAGAATAAAATTTTAAATGTTAAATTCGGTTTTTTTTCTTTGATGACAGCACGGACTTTACATTACATTACATTGATGCTGGCCTAGCGAAAATACAGACATTTCTCCAGTTCCCAAGGACATTATCCATGAAACGACGACCCCKCTAGTGAGATAACTGTTGTAGCTCGATCTTGAATAAACACCTTTTAGTGGAGGCACCTGAACATCGGGTGCACGGAATCCATAAAAACGTGCAGAKTGCGGGTGTTGGAAAATATGAATATTATTGAGGCRAGATATGGAAATATGAAGATTGAATTTAGTGAATTATAACCATAAGTATAAAACGTTTAAAGCGGAGAAAAACGACTAATATTGGTGACATTATGTAGATGTTGGCCCTTTCTTGATTGAGAACGTTATCTAATTTTTTTACCATAAAGTTTATGAGTTTCAAATAAATAGAGAGTTATAGCTATTWAACTTAGTTGACTGGCTACATCTTAATATTCTTTATAAATTCACGCGCGTCTTGTGACAAAACAGTAAGTTTATTGCATTTCACAATAAGGTATTATTATTAAAACCACAAAATTTTTTCAGTTATTGCTGACTGCAATATACACTCCTTTAACCCTTTTATTTTTTTCAATTTTCAACATTGTATGATATTAAGCAGCCATCTTTTCGTTCGTACCAATGCWAATGACAGGGTTCACTAGAATAGCMAAAAGCCMWAAGACGTGTACAACGGTGATAAAACATACCGGATAGGTCCGATCTCGATCAGCACAAAAGAAAAGAAGATAAATGGATGGACGTTTGTATAAACAAAAGAACCATTCCAAGATACGTTGCTACTTTTGGTGCTTTTTGATATGACATATCGATTGATTTTGAACCAAGGTGCACATTGGTTTGAACTGGTGTAGTTTGTTAGTGAAGGTAATTTTTTTTTCGGTTTATCTTGAAGTGAATTGTGCATGCATGGTTKTTAATGAATAATTTCCCAGGATATACATARACGCCCTGCAAAAAAATCTTCAATTTTTGGGGGACACTGATAGTGTTAAAATCAGATTGTTTGCCAGAATCTTGTTGTCCACCTTGAATTTTCCTTGGTTTGAGCTTGAAATCTAGAAATGCTGCTGTCTTCCAAGGTATGAGAAAAGTTCAACAGYGGAATTTTTTTTTATTGAAGTGTCAAAAACTCATGCATAAATAATTAGCTCCACCGCAAACGGTTCGGACATTCTGGCATTGGACCTGCAAACTGAAAGAAACCATCAAAGCATCATATATTTCTTTTATATCAGGAGTACTTCTTGAGTAATAAGTAATTGTTCATACAGAGTGTTCATTGAGGTAAAGAAACCTCAATTTGGACAGAGAGGTCATGAGATGCACGAGCTGCAAAGGAGCTCTCGTTTGCTGGGGTGAGGGCTGTTGAGTGTCATTTACACTAATGAGGAAATTTGAGACCAAGAGGGAAAATCAAAATACTGAGCCTTTGCTTATTTTTAAAGGAGAAACGGCGGAGGAAGGGAGAAACCTYCATCTCTGCATCCTTTCGTATGCCTCCTCGTGTCTGCTTAYAATATTTTACGAGTTAAAAATTGGTCTTAGCCTTTCTTCTGGCCACTAATGATTTACAAGTTCTAATACACCTTTACCATAATGGCTGCATTTGTGTTTTCCAAACTAAGATAGATATCAATATTTTGTCACTGTAACATCAAATAATTTTTAGAAATAAACGTTTTTGGAACGTTTTAGAACTCTGGAAATAAATAGGAAAAAAGTTACGGTGAAATGAAAATACAAAGAAATGTATGTAATTTTCCACCAATGGCTGTCTGTCTATTTGTTTCTGAATATGAAATATGTTAAAACTTTGTCACTGTCATGTGAATGAACCACCTGAAATAAACATTTTTGGAAAGTTTTACAGTCCTGGATAAAATGCAACAAAYTTATGGCGAAATGAAAATACAAAGAAATGTATGTAATTTTCAGCCAAGGCCTTTATTGCCTTGTCCTGGTGTTATCATATATTTTAAATCCTTATAACTTCACCAGAATTTAATATTTTCATTTCAAATTTTTATATTTTGTTATGAGCATAGGTTCCTATCAGCTGTCAGATTACTTTTACTAAAATTCGAAATTTCAAAATTTTATGTTAATTAAATGGCGGYCATGGTAAAAGTGTATAGCGGTGGTCTTCGTGGTGGCCCGTCTGTTTCTCTTTCTTTATAGAGCCTGATAAATCAGACTACAATCATACTGCTTCGAGTGAGAAGTAGCTTTAATAAATAGACTTGGTAATATCCGAACAGCGCGCTTTTCTCTCATGATTACTATCTAGTCGTTGGAAATGATAGAGTGCTCGCACTTAATGCGTGAAACAAATAGTACTAATTACTACTAAATAGTGTTGATCATACWATAGGAAACAAAGGAATTTGTATAAATTTATCACCTATTTTGTAGTATTTATATTTCACGCATTTAGTGCAAGCACTCTATCATAGAACTAGTACTTTCTCCTTGTTGAGGCATATATAGAAAATTATTTCCTTACTGTATCAACTTTGGTGGTCGAAATTGGATAAAGCTTTTGCGGAACAGGAAATAGGACGAATAATTTGTATGTAATATATACAATATGAGCGGGCGATCTGTATGAGGATTTAAAACAGCGAGCTGAAAGCGAGCTGTTTTAAACCTCATACAGATCGCCCGCGAATATTGTATATTACTTATGAAACGTAACGTTGAGGTAAACTAGCTCAGGTTTTAAAGAAACTTTTGAAAAAAAAATCAATCTGACCGAGAAAATCAGAGTTAAAGTTTATGCAAATGAGCAAGAAATCTGTATGTAATATACAACTCTCTTCATGGGCTATGATTTCTATTGTGTTTTGCCTTATGAATATTAATGAGTTTTATAATATCATATACAATAGGACTCGTTCATGGTCTTTCATAAGTGATTTTAATTTCAGTAGTTTATCGGCCTGAATGCATCATGCAGTGACAAAAAAAAAACAACCAAACAATTAAAATCAAGCCGCCAATGGCAACACAACTCGAAGATTGATTGTGTAGACGAATAAGGAACGATACGATTTAACAAATAGAAATATTTTAAGGACACGATTTATGAATATATAKTTTTTTTCATTGAAATCTTATTATTTTAACTTCTGTTCTGGATAAGTACGGCGAGCGCCAGCGAAATATATCTCAGTCTGAGGCACGATAATGTATAATTTGCCATCGTAGCCCGGTGCATGGTCAAAACGTGGTCATTCTAGAATATATTAATAATTCTGAACAAAAGTAACGCAGGCTCACGTTTACAGGAAAGTGAGTGATTTTCGTCCCCCTCCAATAACTCTTCGATTGCTTTGCAATCTTCGAGTTAAAAAGAATAAAATAATAATAACAAAAAAGGTAAGAAACAGTTAAACCCATAAAAGGAGACTCAAATGCTCAAGTAGGAAAATATTTAATTGCATATCATTCAATTCTCACCAATAAATGAACGTACAATATACGTCATCATGACGTAATAATATTCATTTTTGATTGATTTAAAGGTACTGGTCAGCGGCAATAGTTTGAGACAGGGTTCCCATAAATCAAAAGGTTCAAACAATTGCAACCAACGAGTGGCATAATTTACACAAAGGACAGAATGGTGAAATAGTATAATTTAACATTTCGAGTTTGTAGGGTTCTGTATCTTCAAGTTCAATTCCGGTCGTCYATCTTTTGAGCGGTTCTTTGATAGTGGTAGCTGCCTGATTGATGGTGGACTGATCTTTTTTCGCAGTACATTTTTGCTAGAGTGCAGAAATTCTCTGCAGTGGATTTAACCTGAAATATGGAGCGACAATAGAAATTAGATTTATGATTTTTATTTTTGGCTTCAATATAACGTCACAACACATGGGCTTGAAGCAAAGAAAAAACTAAAACATTTTTGTCTAAGTTGTCTTTGTTATAATTAGTTCAGAATATTCTTTTTTATTAAATTAAATAAACGTAACTGCAACTATYACATACAAAAAGACATTAAATTACACTATACTACAGTACACTGAATAACAAAAAATATTTATTAGTTCAGAATATATATATTTTCCCAGTTCCCTTTTCTTCATCTGAATAATAATAATAATAATAATAATAATAATAATAATAATAATAATAATAATAATAATAATAATAATAACAATAATAATAATAATAATAATAATAATAATAATAATAATACTAATAATAATAATAATGATACTGTCCACATAGAAACACAAAGCCTAGGCTACCAGCCCGCCTTGTTGTTATAGCTATTATACATTGAGAAACCAAATAAAGATACCATAATAATAATAATAATAATAATAATAATAATAATAATAATAATAATAATAATAATAATAATAATAATAATTACTTTGTTTTGCGATACTTCCTATTCAAAATACTTCGAGTCCATTCTTCAAAGCGATATGCATCATTTCGTGTGCCAGCCGTCGAAGATAATCAAGATAAATTGCTACTCGAGTCACAGAAAAGACAGGTGAACCCAGGGTAGGAAGTTTGCTAAGGAAATTATCTTAAAGATAGGCTCACAGAGATGTCATTATATACAGAAAAGGATTGGTTAAATCGAAAGATAAAATGCGGAACAACTTCTATAATAATCCGAGTATAAAAGTGGTTAAATATAGGTTTACAATGTAAAGCTCATAAACCAATAATAGTGATTGGATTAATAATTCAAATACGAATTGAATTGATCCGTGCGAAAGTATCATAATTCATTAAAGAACAAGTTACATTTCAGCAATTTAAGAAGAAGTGTTATATCATGTGGGGATGACAAAAAAAACCCAACAAACAAATCTTGTGATTCTTGTCCTTTTTGAGTGCCCTCAAACACCTCGAAATCCTTTTACATAGCATCTTTGCAGTTTTGCCGTTCTCTTGAGAATGGAGTACAAAACAAAAAAACGCCGATAAATCGACTATTTGTACACAATAAATTTGCTCTATTTCACGGATTTATAAAATAAATGAATAATCAAATAACAATGGGTAAAAATAGAGAAGCAAAAATGCTTACACCGCATACTCTGATCAAAATGGCCGCCGCTCTTTAATTGTTCATTTCCTTCAAGGCAACAGAAATATCCAAAATGTGTCTGCAAGATGCGATGTAATTTCCTCCCATTTCTTGGAGTTTATCTATTTCCTCTATTTTTGAACGCGTCACTTAATTAATATCGCTGTGGAATCTAGAACACTGACACAGCTGAAGATATCCGCACAATTTGATAATCGGAAAACAAAAATATTTGTAGCTGTCATTGTCCAAATTTTGGAAATAAAACGCGCGCAATAATTGGCTGATAGACATGCCTATTTCATATTTTACTGAGATCAAAGAAAATGCTTGTTTGGCCTTAACTCTATTTAAAAAAACAAAAAACCAAAAAACCCTATTAAAGAGTCGCGCATATCTCTTCCCTCTGGTTTAAAACATGCTCTCGAAGATGGAGGAAACTAGAGAAGCAAAAAACTCAGTCTCTTATCACTTGCATATTCCGTTTTATATTTCTTAGTTTCATCTCATGAAATCGWTAAGCCTTTACTAGGCTGTATTAAATTTTGGATCTTGGAAAAGCTGTTGGAATAGCAGCCAATGTGCTTTTTTTTAGGGTGCTCTGTACTACGACACGTAAATCTAAACAAAACTTGAACATTTCCGATAAATTTCAATGTGGAATGCAGCCCCGTAAGCAGCCCAAAGCGAACAGMGAGTTGCAAGGGACATCTTCAGGTTTTTAATTTTCAAGAGAAGAAGCACCAGCMTTTGGAATTTTAAGAGATTAAAAAAAGCCCAAGATCAATGTTAAATGACTGAATCCTTTAAAATCCTTTCCGGACATTTGGCTTTCAACATAACGGATCAATATTCATGTTCGGGGAAGACTGGGAGGGGAAGTCTTCTGATAACAAAGATTATAAAAACAGCTTAAAACGAAGCAATCGTACAATATAATATCAATACTGACAGCCAATACCCTCTTGGTATTTAATAAGGAGAAACTGAAGTGAAGATAGCCGAGAACGACTATGAAAATGACTTTCAASCTAAAACATCAAAATGTTAGAAGGTACAATACCTTGGCGTCTCTCTTCCTCTTAGGCGAGGGCGTTCGTGTAAATTGGTAAGGGTTGAAACAACACCCATAGCCAAGAAGCACAAAAATAACCAATATAGCCAACACAACACCTCGAGATTTCATTCTACATACAGGGTTTTACACCAACAAGAAGAGGCAATAGATATGCCAAAACCCTGTTTTTGCTCTAACATTTAAAGGTTAATCTAGGCGTCCAGGAGCACGCCTGCGGTATCTTAAATAACGGATATTAACGACCTTTTTAAACAATTCAGCTGCTTGTCTGGTCCTCCTGGCAATATTGATCAGTTTTGATCTCTGTGTGGTCGATATCGATGGAAATCTCTGGATTACGCTTGCCAAGATTGATATGCATATCAAGGTTTCACTGTGCCTTATTGAGTGTCTTTTTTTCTCTCATTCTTTAGCCCACATCAGTTTAAAATTATATTTGTTATTAACAGGCATGGATTGCCGTGTAGCGAAATTTTGCCAGAGTTCTTAAAGTTCGGGAGACAGAGTATTTTTGCCGCACGGAACAAAATTAAKTTGATAAAACAGACCGACATTGAGSTAGTAAACGACTTRTTTATTTTCGCTGTTTGTTGCTCGTTTTTCGCTTAAAATTCCATTAARGTTACCGCGYACTGGGCATATCGTTGAAAACCATACCGYTCGCTAGCCAATCAGAGTGCGCAATTCCTAGAATACCGGAACTATATATTCTTGGTAGTACCRATATGTTAAATACAACTTAAGCAAGGTTTTCACCAATGTAGAGTCAAGTATAGAAAAATATTTCAAAGATAAAATCACAACGGAAAAGTTAATTTAATTAGCGAATTGATTGAATGACGTCATGGCTGCCATTTTGTGTGCTGATAACAAATTGCTTCTCATTAGTTCCACGTGTTTGTCCGCCCACTGCAGATATCGTAACCTCGTTTCTTAAATTTCAATAGCCGACTTGGGAATTTTGCCTCAGTAGTTACACACAAATGAATCAAGACGAGGCGCCGTGCATACAGCTCAGTTATTCGTGAAAAGACAGTTATTCGTCAAAAGACATTAGTTTTTCACGACTGTCTGAGCTTTTATGCGAGGCGCGTTGTCTTGATTCATTTGTGTGTAACTACTGAGGCAAAATTCCCAAGTCGACTACTGAGGCGAAGTTCGCAAGTCGGCTATYTAAAGTCCTACTTGCATGAAAATGCCCTTATTTCAAAACTTCAAGCAATACAATTATATGACTCATTTATATCTATTAAAAAACAATTGCGGAAAAATATTTGTTTTGGAATTATTCCTCATCAGAGAAATTTTGATTCAAAAGATGGAAGAACAAAAGAATGTTCATTTACTCCAACTTTTTTTTGCCCAAATTATTAAGGATCTGCATCAATATCTTCTTTAAATCTGTTGCTTCATGATTATTAGACCCATATGGATAGGTCTATTTGATTTCCAAGTTTTTTCTAATGTTTCGCAATTTTCTTCCAAGTAGCCCTTTAAATGCTTTTATAAACTCGTTCAATGAATCAAAAGACAAAATTCACACTCGTGAATTACCACAGATAACCTTACTTTCAAAGCTTTAAACAAGCACCTTTTAACAAGAACATTTAAGAGCATTTTTGTATGATCAATTCTTAGTTTAAATCCAGTTCACTGATTTTTTTTCATTGGAAAACTGTGGGTCCCGTATGACAACCATATATGGTATTGATATAACAAGTAGTTTTGTACGATGAAAGACAACAATTTTCAACATTGATAGCATTGAAATAAAACTCCACTGATCCGTTAAACATAAGGAGGTAAAATCATGCTGCTTCTTTTGTCATATTTAAAAAAAAWWTTTGTGGGTTTYAGTAAAATACGCCAATCCATAGACTTTGGACAAAATGACCCCTGAAGCGTTATAAACATATATGACCCTCTTAGAAGATGTGTACTGAAAAAMCTAGTTCGTTTTAATCAAAATCCATGCGCAATTTAGCATATAGTGTTGATAAMAAAATAATGACTTTCTTTTGTGTCTATCTGACTATCGTACTTAAATAGTCAAGATTAATGACCTCACTTTAATTTCTGCACTCTAGCTGTTGGTAACTTAAGTAGAATCTTAGTTCGTTAATAGAGTGAACAGACAAACTCGGCTAAATTACACAAAAATCAGAATAACACAAAGTTGCACTTATTGGCTGCAACTAGAGAAACATAGATTGAGGTCATTAAATCCGTGAAACAAAACTTTAAAGTGTGATAGTCAAATAGACACAAAAAAGCAATGCAATAAGTTTGTACTAARGTGTATTAGTGTAATATCTATTTCATGGATTTTTGACTTCTTTCTTACTTTGAATAGTATAATATCTATTTCATCTTTTTCACGGATTTATTTTTTTACTTACGTTTCAGAATTCGTATGCAACAGGATAAACTGAAATCATTCGAGTACAATGATTTTYATTTGGAATGAAGTCCTTAATCCCGTGAAAAAAAGCCTTGAAAATTAAAATGTWGTAATAATAATACGGTTTAGTAGCGTAAAATCACAGGTTTTTTTTTWMYT